AATTTCCCATTTCCCCATCCTCTCATTCCTGTCGAATCTGTATTAATCTCAGTCTCAAGTTCCCTCGTATAAACAGAACTTAAGTATTTGTCATTTTGTGTCCGGTTTATATCATTAAGCATTGTGTCTTCAAAGTTCATCCATGATACAGCATGTGTCAGGATTTCCTACATTTTCAAGCCTTAAAAATACTCCATTGTACACATATACCACATTCATAGGTCAATGGATGCTTGGGCTGTTTCCACATTCTTGGCTCTTGTGACTAATGTTGCAATGAACATGGATATGCAAATATGTATTCAAGTCCCTGCATTCAATTCTTTTGGATGTATGCCCAGAAGTAACATTGCTGCCTCATATGGTAAGTGTGTGTGTATCCCCCTTCACTTCTAAAATCCATTCATATCTTGGCAGGTTTTTATTTCCTAGATATATTTGAAAATTCACCAAAAGATTTTATTTTGTGGTAAAGAATGCATAAGACATACCATGTTAACTCTGAGGTATACAGTTGAGTAGTGTTAAATATATGCACTTTGTTGTGCAATACCCCTCAGCTGAAATACCTTTTCAGCTTTCAGAATTGAAACGCTATATCTCTAATGCACAATATATCCCTCTTCTCCTCTCCTTACAGGCCCTGGTAGCCTCCATTCTACTTTTTGTTTCTGTGAATTTGATTAACATAGGGATCTCATAAAAGTGAAATGATGCAATATTTGTGTGTTTGTTAAAGGGACTTTTTGAGATATAAAATGTCCCGGCTTTTGTGTCTAAATGAAGCAAGAACAATCATAGCACCAGTGCACTGTAAACTTTTTTTATTTTCCTCCCTCCTTAGCCACTAAATTGATATTTATATAGAAGCATCCTCTGGAGGTCACTGCAAAGTGTTAAGCTACATAGGAGTTAGTTCCAGTGGCCCCTTATTTTAAGTCACCTGGTGAACTTGGGCATGTACTTGATTGCCTGTGCCCATTTCCTCATCCATGAGGGGGAAAAATAAAAGTGTCCTTTCCTTTGCTGGGGGGAGGAGCCCTTGCCAACACTTTCACATCAGGAACCCCTGCCTGGTCCCGTCCTTGGTCCTGGCTCTGCCTTGCCCCGGGGACATGTCCCCACCCCTCTGCTGCAGTTCCAGCTGCAGCTGCTGGGAGTTTTCTTCTGGCTTAGGAAGGTCACAGTTCCCATTTCTTCCCTCCTTCAGCTGCCCCTCCATGCCGTGTCCCTGGAACCTCCCGCCCCCCATCATCAGAAAAGAGCGCACCCCCAGCTGCCTCGATCCTCTTGGCTGCTCCTTCTGTGACTGGCCTGGAGCTCCTAGGCTTGGGTGAACCTATTTGGACCAGGAGGATGGGCGGGGTCAAAAGGAACGCACCTGTGTTCTGCGTGGGCGCCCGGTGGCTCCAGAGCAGCTGCTCCTCTTCCTGCTGAACGGGGCTCTTCACCTCCCACTGTGAAGTCTATTCTCCCAGCTCCCCACCCAGCACCTCCCACTGCCCTGCTCACTATGGGTCTTTGATCTGCTCTCCCTGCTTGGCCCACAGCCTCTCTCTAAAGCCGCAAGGAATAGGGGCCACCCAGAGTATGTGTCCAAGGTAGGAGATGGATTGGGAAGTGTGGTCAAGGGGTGTCCGTGGGGCCTTTCCATCCACTGTGCTCCACCTTTCAATATGCTCCCTATGCTACCTTTGTTTTCCCATCTCAAGAAGGAAAAGCGTCTTAGTCCTTCACTGACCTGGGCGTTCCGGCAGTGTGGGTGAGTTCTGGGTGAATCTGTTCTGATTTTGGGTGTCAGTTATTTACATTTGTTTTATTATATTCAGATGGGAAGATGAGAAACATTTGTGGGAGGACCTGAGATTACTGAATGCATGAGTGAAAGAGTGCCTGTAAATACGAAATTTACTACCGTGAAAAACCTGGGCAACTCACCTCCACCTCACTTCACCTGCCCCCCAGAGCCCTGTCAATCTCGCAGGACTTCATAATCTGGGAGTCTTTATAAAGAGATGATGTGAGCCTCTTTTTTTTAATAGCAGCAATTGGAATTGAATTTACCATAATTTAGGAGTAATTAGTAAACAGGAGGGTAAGGCTTTGCCCTATGGGAAATCCTGTTTCCTCGCATTTTTTAAACTTTTCTGGATCACATATTATATTGAGTGTTACCAAAAGGTGATTTTCTGGTTCATTCATTCTTTAGCTGTTTTCTCCTTTTTTAATCTTGTGATTATTAGTATTCTCATGGATTTTCTCTCAATGTACTGCAATCACTATATTATCATTATTTTTCATAGTTCAAGTTTATCTAGGGGTATTAAGCTCCCTCCATTTGACACAACCCCATTGAGGTTTGAGTTCTTTATTTTCTGACTCAACCAGGTATTGCAGGTTCATTTTGCACTTTCCTGCCCCACGTGTGGAGTCAGACATTTCTCCCAAAGAGCTTCGTTCTTTGTATAAATCAACATTGTTTTGTTCCCTGTGCTAAATTCTAGTTCAAAGGCTTCAAGGCCCTTCCAGAACTAGAAAATATTTTTAAAAATTACGTTTGCATTCATATTACCAATGAAAAGTTAATATTTTGTTTTTTCTCTTAACTCCTCAGATTTTAAATTTATGGCTTTTTTCTGTCTTGGTTCCTAGTAACATTAGTTTATTTCTTATTTCCTTTATCCTACATGACACAGAAAATGCAGTATTATAATGGTACTAAAGTTTCATGTTTCTTAGTAGTTCTTTTTGTACTTAGTCTATATTCTTGTCATTTTTGTAGTCATTTCACCTCTTGAGGATATAAAACATTTACATGGTTCCAAAGTCAAGTAACACTATAAGAATAGTGTTATTCTTATTTCCTTACAGTCTTAATCAAACATACAATGATCTGCACTTCCTATTTTCAGTTAAATATAGATGTTGGAAATCACTCACCTCACTTCACAGATATCTTTCCTCTTTTTCCCTTAGTTTCCCATTCATAGCTATATCATACTTAATGAGTTACCCATGGATAGAATTTCTCTTGTTTCCTGTTTTTGGTTATTAGAAATCTTACCAAATACCCTCCACTTGATTTATATCATTTTTTCAATTTAGAATACATTTTTAAAAGCAAAGTTAAAAGTAACTTTGCAGAAAAATAAGCAACATCTTTGAATTGCAAAGCATTTGCTTTCCTGCCATCCTCCCTCAAAATCATCCCAGCCCTGTATTCTTGGAGTAATTAAGTATATTCCTGAAAACTCAGATTTATATTGTGTCATGAACAGTTAGTTAGTTATCATCTAGGTGTATTTTCACAGTCTTGAGAAGGATGTTGGTTGCCTGTCAGTCCACAGTGTCTGGGTGCCTTCAGTGAGTGCCCTGCAGTGAGCTCGACATCAAGGAGAGGAGTATCAGGCACAGTTGCCATCAGCCTCACAGGATGATGGGTACTGATTTGTCGTATGGTGAGTCCTAGGTGACGCTCCTTTTCAGACCCCTTTAGGTCAGCTCTGCACAGTATGGCATCAAATGGTCTGGAAGTAAGCCTGAGAAGGCTGTGTGATAAACCAGCTGCTCCTATATGTCCTTTGGGGAAAGGTGCTGCATAATCTTCGTGAGTGATACCAGCGGGGCAGATAAAGAGCCCCATGTCTCAGGGCTGAAGTGCAGCGTACTGATCCCAGTAGTTCAGTAATTCCTAATGCACCTTGATCCTCATGGTGTCACCTCTATGCTGCTTATTTTGCTGTGTGCTCTGACTGCAGATAAGTAAGATGAAAGTGTCTTTTTCTCAACAAATTTGTTCACTCATTATCATTTATCAGTAGTATGCAGTGTGCTCAAGAATATGCTGCAATGGGGGGAAATAAAATGAGAAGGTCTCCTAGTCTGGTTGTAGTGAGACAAGTTCATGTGTAAGAGGTACAATTAAAGCCTTGGACTGGAGGAGATACACAGTGGGAGAGTGCAGACAGGGTGAAGACTACCTAGGACTACCAGTGTTCACTGGGGAGATAATGGGACATCCTAGAATCCTGTTTTGGCTTTGGGTCTCCCATCATTCTCCAGTGAACATTGATGGAGATGTTACTTGCATAAGTCAGCCTGTGTGTGATGGGTTGTGATTCAGTGACCTTTGATGATGTGGCTGGGGACTTCCCCCAGGAGGAGTGGACTTCACTGGACCTCACTCAGAGAAACCTATCCGGAGATGTGATGCTGGAGACCTACAAGAACCTGGCCACAGTAGGTAAATCTGGAATCATTCTTTGTACCCTCTTATGAATCAGATCTATATTGTGTACTTCCTGTGTTCCAGAATTGGTGATTCAAATCAGAATACAATGAGACAGAACACACACATATTCCTCGCACTCATAGGTTTGAATCTACTGTTGTTCTCAAAATGTTGCCACAGGACCAACAGCATCACCGTCACTCTGTTAGAAATGCACATCTTTAGACTTCACTTTGACATAATGAATCAGAAAGTTGTGGTTGTTGCCCCATCTTCTGTGTTTTTTGAAGCCCTTCAGATGACTGTGATGCGCTATAATGTTTGAGGACCACTGCTCTGGTGGTTTCCTCATCAGAACAAAGACCTCTTTGTTGCACTTTCTTTGTTTCTTTGAATAAAAGCCTTTGGGCTTGTACATGTGTACATAAGCCTGAATGTGGGTTTCAAGGGTCAAAGATAACCAATCTGGGGGCTACAGAAAGGTGGGATGTTTGCCTTTGCAGCCCTTTTGACATAAATTTAATGCTTCATTAGAAATGTAGTTCCTGATTTGTGGGAAGATTTGTCATCTCTCTCTCTCTCTCTCTCTTTTTTTTTTTTTTTTTTTTTTGAGGAAGATTAGCCCTGAGCTAACTGCTGCCAATCCTCCTCTTTTTGCTGAGGAAAACTGGCCCCGAGCTAACATCTGTGCCCATCTTCCTCTACTTTGTATGTGGGACGTCTACCACAGCATGGCTTGCCAAAGGTGCCATGTCCACACCTGGGATCTGAACCAGTGAATCCCAGGCCGCCAAAGTGGAACGTGCGAACTTAACCACTGCACCACCAGGCCGGCCCCAAGATTTGTCATCTCTTGCATGAGCCTCTTCCATTAAGGTATCTTTCCCTGTGGACAGGGTCTTAACTGTTCCCACTGCGTCTGATCTCTGGGTTGGAACAAAAAGAATTGAGGACAATAGTCATAGGTGTTCTCCAAGCTGAGTGTCTGCAAAATAAAACCATAGTCAGTGAGAAGTTCACTATGTTTAGAAGTATAAAGAGGAAAGTTTTCAAGATGCACTCTTTTCTCAGAAGGCTGAGGCCATTGGTCTCTGGTGTTTGGGGATCTCTTCAAGTCCCCTTACTCTTCTTTTATATTTCCTCAAACTTTCCAGTCATCACAAAATATCCTTTTTTTTTCATTTTAAAATTTATCATTTTGATGTCAGCTCATTGTCCAGATCTTTCATGTTTTCTTTCCTGATATTTTCTATGCCTCATCACTTTTAATTTTTGTATAATCATTTTGTAAAAAAAACTGCTTAAAATTTTGACCCCTTGTCATTATCATTGCTAAATTTTTTATTTAACCACAGTCCTCAAATCTAACTTTCCCTTTTTTTACTATATTTAATTTGAAAATATATACAAGTGAGCCTGATAATTTTGAATTTCTTCATCCTAACATTTCTTTCTAAGCTCTCAAATTTGTTTGTTTTACTGCAGAATGAGCTATGGGACTTAAATCAAAAGAATCAGCAGTTCAGGAACATATTGTAGGGGGAACAGCCTCCCGCATAGTATACAAATGGCAAGATGGATAAATGACATCACGTATTTTCCACCTTCAGAAAAGGTTGAGAGTTAGGTTAGATAGAAAATCAGTTCACATGGGAGACATTTGGACCAGGTGGCCTAGCCCAAGACACTGATGCCTCGAGGGAGATACTCAGAATACGATGAATTTGGGGACATCCTAAACCTAGCTTGAAAGTTGGTGCTTCAAGGTTCCCGCAGGTATACAGTCACACATCTTTAAAGATGGTGAGTTTAAAAACAATTTTATAAAAGACTACAGGAATCATTTTAAAATTAAGAGTAGATGGGGAAGCATTCTGCCAGAGGGTTCCATCATTCAATCTGAAAGAAAGAAACAGGGCAGGATTATACGCTTGGAAATGGTGAAAATCATAAACATTGTGACAATGTTTCTCTCTTGAGATAGGTGTAATCAATAAATGAGTCTGAAGATTTCTTTAATCATCATTCATACCCTCCTCCACAGGAAAGAACAAAAAATGGAGGGGAGCTCTATGATAATGTGGAAATTCTTCAGTGAATGCTCATGTCTTAAGACACACAATATTATTCAAAATAGAGGGAAGATTTGCGATGATGATCATTATGGAAAAGGCTTTCTGATTCCTCCCAGGAAAACCAATACCAGAGAGAAACATTCCGAGCTTAATGAGTCCAGAAAAGCCATCAGCCTGACTCCAAATACTGTGTAACAGAGAATATGCACGCAAGGGACACCCTTCGATGCAGTGGCTGTGGGAACGCCTTTGTTAATCACTTACACCTTCACATACACATGAGAACTCACAATGAAAAAAACTACGGAAGGAATATGGGAGATCTTCTATTCACTCCACAAACTTTCTGTGCGTATACAAACTCACACCACAAAAAAATTCCTGTGAAAGTAAAGAATGTGGAAAAGGCTATAGGTATTCTGCCTAGGTTAATATTCACATGTGATCCCACACTGGAGAGAAGCCCCGTGTGTGTAAGCTATGTGGGAAAGCATTTCCATACTCCTCACCTGAATATGCACTTACAGACTCAGTGCCAAAAACCACACTCAAGTAAGGAATGCAGCAAGACCTTTCAACGTTCCACAAACCTTAATATGGCCCTGTGAACCCACCCTGGTGAGAAGCCCTATGATTGTAAGCAATGTGGAAAACTTCCACTGTTTCCTCACACCTAACTCAACATAGAAGAATTTGTGGTGGGGAGAAAATCCATAAATGAAAAGAATGGGGCAAACTTTTCACTAGTTCATCTCAACTTTCAGAGCATACAAAAATACACAGTGGAGAGAAGCCTTTTGAATGAAAGCAATGTGGGAAAACCTTCACTCAATCCTCAAACTGTTCTGGACGTCAGATAACTCATACTGGCGAGATGCTCTTCAGTGTAAGCTATGTGGGAAAGCATTTATGTATTCCTCATGCCTGAATGAGCACTTGTGGACTCACAGTGCTGAAAAACCACATACACGTAAGGAATCAGACCAGGCATTTACATGCTCCACAAACCTCTCTAGCCACACGTGGACTCACACTGGAGAAAAGCCCTATGAATGTAAACAGTGTGGGAAAGATTTCACTTCTTTTAGTTCATTTCAAATACGCAAAGGAATTCATACTGGAGAGAAATCCTATGAACATACACTGTGTAGTAAAGCCTTCAACTCTCCCACTTCCTTTTGAAGTTCTGAAAGAAGTCCCACTGGAGAGAAACTCTATCAATATAAGGAACGTGGGAAAGACTTTAGTTGACTCCATTCAGTTTGGCTACATGAAAGAAATCACACTGGAGAGAAACTATCAATGTAAGGAATGTGAGAAATCCCTTAATTGTCCTGATTGATCTCAAAGTCACAAACAAACTCAACTGGAGAGAGACCCTATGAATATGGAAACATTGTCACAAATGCCAGTCACAGTTTTTATTAACATGTAAAAATTTACAGTGGAGAGAAGTCATGTCAATAGAGAATATAGAAAAGTGTTCATAAATCCTCAGGACTTACTTCACACACCAGAATTCACCCTGAGGGGGACACCGTGTGAATGTATGCAATGTGGGAAGGGCTTCACTGCTTTCTCAAACCTTAATGAATATGTAAGAATACACAGTGGAGAGAAGCTATATGGTTTAGGAACGTGGAAAAGCCTATAGTTGATACTGCTACTTACTCATTTAAGAACTTATGCTATAGGCAAATGTATGAATTAAAGAATACAAAAACCTTTCTCATTCCACAAACCTTCCTAGGCACATGCAAACTAATACTGGTTTAAAACCTAACAGTTTATGGGATGGCCTGAATTCTGCCCCTCCAGGATTCATATGTTAAAGACCCAGCCAAAATACCTCAGAATGTATCCATGTTTGGAGCTAAGGTTGTTAAAGAGGTGATTAGGTTAAATTGAGGTCTCTGTGTGGAGCTCTAATTCAGTATCACTGGTGTCCAAATAAGAGGTGAAAGAGACACCAGGGATGCACGCACACAGAGAGAGGGCCGTGTGGAGACAGCAGAGGATGGCCATCTGCAAGCCAAGGAAAGAGTCCTGGAGGAGATGCTTCAGTTAAACCTTCCAGAAAAACCAACCTTGTTGGCACCATGATTTTGGACTTCTCACCTCCAGAATTGTGAGAAAATGAGTTTCTGCTGCTTAAGCCGTCCAGTCAGTGGTATTTTTTATGGCAGTCCTGCAAAATCAATACCTTAAAGAATGTGGAAAAGCCTTTAGGTGATCTTCTACACTCAATATTCCCAAGTGAAACCCCACTGGAGAGAAACCCTGTGAGTGTACAGAATATGGGAAAGCCTTCATGCAGTCTTCAGCCCTTTCTAAATGTAAGAAATCGTACTGGAGGAAGTTCTGTCAATGGAAGTCATGTGTAAAAGTCTTAAAATGTTCATCAGCCCTTGATAGTCACATGCAAATCACCTGGTGACAGACCCTATAAAAATAAACAAAAAAAAGAAACGAAAGAAATGAAAGGTTCTTTTACTGTGAGGGTAAAGAATGTGACCTTATAGAACATGTAGGAACTTAGAGTGGACTCACTATAAGGCATGTAGATGAGCTTTCAGTAATATTTCATGCCTTACAGAAGGTGTAAAAACTGACACTGCAGAGAAGCCTTTTGCTTGTAAGGCATGTGGGAAAGCTTTCATGCATTACACAAATCTTATTTTACACATCTATAATTGTGGTAAAAGCCCTAGGAACATAAGGAATGTGGTGCAACCCTTAAATATTTCACGTCATGATGTTCACATGAAGTTTCATATTGGAGAAAGTCCCTATGTCTGGAAGAAGATGGTCCACATCTGCATATTGCTCAAGCCTTAATATCCAGATGAGAATTCACACTCTGTAAAGACCCTGTGAATGTAAAGGGCACAGGAAGACTTTCACTTGCTCCTCACATCTTACCATTTAGGAACTCACAGTTGAGAGCTGGTGTAAAAATTTAAGAAGTGTGAGAAAGCCAGCAGACTGTCCTCACAACCCTGAATGTAAGGACTCACACTGAAGATCTACCATGTAAGAAATGTGGAAAACCCTTCATTATGTGCTCAGTTATTAGGAAATAAGTGAGATATCTTGCTTTGGAGACCAACCCTAATAATATAAGATGTGAAAAGTTGTAGTTCTGCTAATTATTTTACTATTCACTTGTAATCTAAAAGTGGAGAAAAACTTAATGAATGTCAAAAATGCTTCAAAGTCATCATTTTCCCATTAGATTGTCCCTCTTCCTTTAATTAACATGGCGTGATTCACAGTCTAAACACGAGATGACTCACACTCAAAAGACATTGGGAATGTAGGGAATGTGGGAAGCATTTCCCTCAGTCCAGAAATCAGGTATGCTGAGTGCAACATTGCATTCTGGGTGGTTCTGTAGATCTATTTTGAACATTTGGGATTCTGTCCTGACCGTTTTGGGGCACAATGTGGCTTTCTTTCCCCTGATAGCCATGCTGGGCCAGTCCAGTTGCTACAACTTCCAGGTTTAAAACTGGCCAAATGCGGGCTGATAGGATCTGCACTTAGTCCTGTTATAGCTCCTGCATTCCCTAGTTGGATTAATATGGTTGTACATTGTGAAGACAGTGACTGCTTGACTGAATTCACTGCTCATGGAGTGTGTCTACAGTGGCTCACACTGGCCAAGATGGGGATATAATACACCTTTGTGGGTTTTTTAATAAAACCCTTCTCTCACACCTTATCCATTCAGATAAAAGGTGAGTGTGTGAGCAGAAGATGAGCGGTGGAAAGGTGAGGTTACACACCCAGATTTCATGGCCATGGTGGAGAGAAACAACCCCAACTCTTGGGGAAAGAATACTTTGGACCTCAGCAAAGTACAGAGGGAGTCAAAAACATCCAGCACCACAGCCTGGAAAAACAACCATATTGTCTGCCTGAGTCATGAAACAGCTGCAGCTTGAAATATGACTGGCTGCTGGATTTGTCATTCCGTCCATGTGGCATGAAAAAGGAAAAACTTGTTAACAGGACTGGTCCTGATAATCTGCTGTGCCTGATGCCATCAATGGCATTTCATGATTGTTGGCCCTGAGAACAGGCACAGAGACCAGCACAGCCTCATTTCAGTCTGTATGATACAAATTCACATAGTTCTGAAGTTCAAGCAGCCTCGAGTTTGTCATGACTGGCCATCGAGGATGCTGCTGGTTGATGACACTTGGCATGGGGCTTGATCAAACCTGTGTAATGGTAATGCATATCAAGTTTAAAAGTCAAACATGAAAAAGAATGACCTGTGCCCTTTTGTGTTTATGTTTGTGGAGGAGAGTGGGTTGTGGAGAAGTTCACTCTGGGTATGAGTGTTGCTGTTTAGACTGGGTCACAGCCTGTAGTTATTAGGAACAACACCAAATATAGCAGCTTAGCTTTTACTCTGTTGTGTAGGTTATATGGGAGAGTGGACTGACCTTACATGACATCTTGACTCCTCCATGGATCTTGTTCACAGTTGACTGAATCCGAGATTTTGGGGTCATGGGTGAGATTAATCCTACAGGTTGGCCTCGTCCTGCTGTCTGGACTCCTAATGATAGTAGCATTAATAAATGCTGTATGAGTTAAACTGAGCAGATTTGGTCCCAACCTTTACTGGTCAGTGTCTGGCAGAGTGGCATATTCATGTGAAAACTCACCAGAGGATACCATGGGTTGATGAAAAATACTCCCCCATGGGTCTTTGCTCCCACTTATCTTGCTGAGCATGCCAAGAATGCAAGGCCCTGAATGCTGAGGGAGGAGGCAACAGTGGCGCTTGGGCACAGACCCTGTGCCACCTTCATCTTGCCTCACTGCTACCCATGCCATCACCCTACACTGCTCCTGCTCCCTGTGAAGGACGGTATCATCTCCTGGGAGCTGCACTTTTTGTTGTTACTAGTCTGACACATGCATTTCAGTCTCCTTGGTTCATATTCCTGTAAGAGTTTGGGCAAAGCTGGCAGTACAAAAGGAAAGCTAAAGTAACCTTGTGGGTAGGGTCCTATGGGCCCAGTCACTGTGCTCCTGTGGTTTCTGCTGAATGTACAAGTGGTATGGATGTTTCACATCCTTGAGCTTCCCTTTCCTGTAGGTGTCAGAGGGTTCTCAGATTGCCACATGTTCTATCCCTTTCCAGGTGGTCTGACAGAAACAATATAGAATCCCAGGGAGAGAAAACTTTTTTTTGGAGTATGCAGAGAGGCCATTTCCCCATACATCAGCAGCATGTCCCTGATGTGGTCACCAAGCACACTCCTTCTTTTAAAAAGATAGCTATGAACATGCTACTACTTTCTGGCTGAAAATGAATGCCTGACTCATGGGGCCCTGTGACTCTGACCTGGCAGCCCCATGGAATTTAGCAATCAGCAAGGGAAAGTTCAAACAGGCTCTGCCAGTCAAATGGAAGTGGTATCTTGGAAGTGGGCAGTCCGGAGGACCTGCTGGCATAGTTGGGCAAGAGAACTGGACTGAACAAGTCAATGATATCTTGTGGGTTATCCTATGTGAATTTGGCAGAGGCCTGGCCTGCTTGTGCATGCTCCCTGAGCCTCACCACAGAGCTAGTTCACCCAAAGCACATTAAAAAGCCAAGGTAAATGAGGCAGCATGAAGGTTTGTAAAAGAAATCCACAATTTTGCCCAGATATTGGCATGATGGGACTCTGGCTTCAAAGTAAGACCAGGTCTCTTAGGGCATCCTGTGTCCATGTCAATAAGAGCAATCTCAGAGGAACATGTTCCTCCCATGATATCCTCGTACCTGCCATTGGACTGCCTGTTTGAAGACTTCTTGGCACATGAGAAAAATCAATTCCTTATCAGGCTGAGCAACTTACATTTGATGTCATCAGCGTATAGATGGTACTTAACGTCAGTAGTTCAGACAATTTCACCAAGGATTGACAAGCCCTGCAAACATCTATATTTAGCACTTGGGGTCATGGGAGAAAGTAGCAAATATATTGAGAAGTAATGGCCCATGAGATAGGAATAGTACGAAGATTGGTGTCCATGAGTCCAAGGCAAGGAGCAGTGCCTGACTGACTGTACCACATGCTGACTGGGTGAGGGAAATGAGGATGGGATTTGACCATGAAAGTCATTGGGGGCCTTTTCAAAAGGTGACTTTGTGGAGCAGGGTGTGCCAAGGTCTCCTTGGAAAAGATTCCTGAGGAAAGAGGATGGATTGGCATTGCAGACAATAAAGACAGGTGCTGGGGCCGGCTCCGTGGCCAAGTAGTTAAGTTCGCGTGCTCTGCTGCGGCGGCCCAGGGTTCGGATCCTGGGCGCGGACATGGCACTGCTCATCAGGCCACGTTGAGGCGGCGTCCCACATCCCACAACTAGAAGGACCTGCAGCTAAGATATACAACTGTGTACCAGGGGGGTTTGGGAAATAAAGCAGGAAAAAAAAAAAAAGACAGGTGCTCCTTTTTGACCTTACAGTCTATACCTTAATATTCCAGATTTCCATTGTGTATTAGTTTTCTATTGTTGCTGTAACAAATTTACCACAAAGTTAATGGCATAAAACAACAATAATTTGCTATATTATGGTTTGGCAATCAGAACTCCTAAAAGGATGTCACTGAGCTAACATCAAAATGTCACTAGGACTGTGTTCAGGCAGAAGTGATTCTGTTTACTTGCTTTCTCCAGCTTCTAGATGCCTTTTGTCTCATTTTCCTTCCGTCTTCAAAGTCAGAAACATCAGTTGAACTCTCTCGTGCTGCCATATCTTTGATTCTCCTAGTCCACTTCCCTCTTCTGCTTTAAAGGACACTTGAGATTCCACTGGGCCCAGGTGCAGAGTCCAGAATAATCTCCTTATTTTAAGGTCAGCTGTTGTACAACCTGAATTTCCCTTTGCCATGTGACAGCATGTATTGTTAAAGGGTCCCTGGGATTTGTCGTAATTTGGGTATGGTAAGACACAGAGACATGGAAATGACTCCATGAAGGAAGAAGTTTATCCTATTCAACAGTTCTCTAGAAATAGGAGGCTCAGCAGGCCATGCAGTGGGTCAACCCAAGGAAGAACTGGGGCTGGTCAGGATGCGGTGTGAACAAGGGGGAATGTGGCCAAGAGCCTTTATTGTGGTTTCCATGGGGAAGGGATAGGTGAGGGAGAGTCAGCAGGTTTAAGATTTGCTAGTTTGAATATCAGCAGGCTCTTGGGCACAGGGGCTGTCCCTGGATGGTACCTGGCCTTGGGGTGGTTAATGCAGGTTGACAGTTGCCCAGAGTTTGAGAGCCCAATAAAGGAGGGGGTTGGGAGTATAGGATCTGATTGGTTAGTTTGCATGTGCAAGGGGTTTTCTTGGGGTGAGTCTTCTTTAACTGTCTCTAGGACGTGGTTAACCCTGGGAGGGGCAGTCCCTCCAGGGTCAGGAAGGCCTCCTAGATGTCAAACCATCAGAATAGAGAAAATTAAAGACGTGGTTAACACACACATTCACATGTTCCAGGAATCAGAACATGGCTATACTTTGGAGACCATTATTCTGCCTACCACACATCATTCATATTTGTTATGTTATTTTTAATATTTTATTTTCTACTTTTCTGGTTTTAGTTATTGTGATTGTGAACAACATTTTAACAGGATATTAAAGTACAATCTGAACTGTCAGCTACAGGTTAAATGAGTTTATATTTGGTTTGATTACTAATACAGTGTTTTTATTTCTCTGATCTTATTTTTCTGCTGTTGCTGTGTGATTTGTGCTATTCTTATGTTTTATAATTATGGCATATGTACAGAAAACTGTGTGAGATGCATATGAGCTGATAATAAACAACAGGATGCTGAGCCCCTGGGTACACACCTTCCAGGCCAAGAAATGGAAGATTACCTTACCCACGAGTGTCTCCTTCATATTGCATCACATTCTTCCATCCAAGAGGAAACCTTGGTGTCTGAACTTTGTATTAACCATTGGATTGATCATGTCTTAAATTCCGTGTCTGATAATTTTTTGACGTTTCAGAGTCTTTGTGGCTGGAGAGAAACTGCCCCTCCAGGGCTGGCTACTTCCTCCAGAGGGTTATCTATTCGCTTGGTAGTACACCTTTCTGATGCAAACCACCCAATCCAGAGCCCATGCTCTAACCACCTCCTACATCTAACTCTCACACACCAATATTTCCCCTGGGCTAAATCAACTCAGAGCCAGGTAGCAGTTGACCGGGGACGGCCAGTATGCCCCAGAGCCTGCTGGAATTCTTCAAATCGGCCAATACTAAGCTGTACTAATACTAAGCTCTGCCTGTCTTTCCCTTGCAGAAACCCCAATAAAGCTCTCCTCTCAGTCCTGCTTTTCTCTCCTGACTGACCTGGTGCTTCCCCATGTGGCCCTGTGTTGCATGGTGTCCCATTTTGTTGGGATTGTGTGACTAGAAATCTTTCCATGGCTTTAATCTCTCTGTGTCATCACTCAGTCACCTTTATAAATTAAGACCCAGGGACTAATCATTTGATGCAAACAAGCAGAGTGACACATTAATCAACAGAGGGGCCTGCGTCTCAACTTCTCTTGGCTCACGAACTGCCTCTACTGAACAGCGAGCTCTGCCTGGGAGGGAACTGCTGGCTCTGGAGCCCTTGTGCTTTGGCCCTCACTGCCTGCTGCTGTGTCAGCCTTGTCCTGCCACGGTTTTCCAACCTAAACTGTGACAAGACAGTGACCCAGATTCTTGCTTAGTGTTGGTAGTGAGACAGGGGATACGAGCAGTCCCCAGTGACACCTTATTGGTGACAGTATGTCCTACCAGGTGAGAAATCATGGGGCATCTAGGGCTAATCAGCATAGGCCGAAAGAGGCACAGTGAAGGCTTCTTGGAAAGGGAGGCAAAGAGTGTTCCCCTCAGAGTGCATTGAGGGCACTGAGACTGATCCACTGGCCTGGCAACCCCATTAGACCCACACCAGGGGCCACCATGGAGGGCTGAGGAGCTGGGCAGTGAGCCCCAGGCAGTGCTCCTTAAAGGGACAATTCTTTTATTCTGGTGGGCAAACAAGTCTGAGGTAAATAAGGTCCCATGTTGATAGGCCATCAGAAGTGTCAATGACTCTCTGTCCCCTGAGCATTGCAACCCTCGACACATACTTACCCATTTAATTCCAAGTTTGTATAGGCCCATCCCACTGGTCAGTAGCTAGATGTACACCACTCCACATGGCTTTTGGAACCACGATGGTTTCCAAAAAGTTTAAATGCTGGTTCAAAAGCACATCGCTCTGTTGCTTGCTTTTAGTGTCACAATTCACTCCCAGACACAGAAGGAGAGAGCGGATCCCGTCCATGGAGACCATGGCTTAATTTTTAATGAAAAAGGAAAAGGAGAAAGAACGTTTTGTTCTTGCTTCCCCTAAGACACATGAGGAGGGTTCTCAGCACATGTGAGGTTGTAAAGGTTCTGGTCAGTGCACTCGGGCACTCTTGAGTGCCGCTCTGTCAACGTGCTAAGAGCATCGTCCTGAAAACCAAGTTATCACAGAATCAGGATTCCACCACATTGTTCTCTTGGATGCAACCCCTAGACCCTCTGAGGTTAACAGGGACCCCCCTAGAAAGGTAGGCCA